TGTTTCTGAATAAAAAGACAATACATATCTGTGTTCCTTATTTTTCATGGTCAGTGATGTTATAGATTTTAAATGTTTCAACGTTTCTCATATGCATGATGGTGGCTTTAAACTTTGTAAATCGTACCCGGGTCTTCTGTGTTACGAGCGAACGTTTTAACCACCAAGACCCGGTTCGATTCCCAACAAGGGTACAATGTGTGAAGGCCATTTCTGGTGTCCCCGCCGTGATATTGCTGGAATATTGCTGAAAGCGGCGTGAAACCAAACTCACTCACTCTTCATGCATCGAATCAGAATTTCTGCTCAGGTTGGGAAAATTGTTTTTGTAACATGCCGTACAAGAGCTGCCTGCGTTGGTGGGATGGCATGTTTTGAACGTTACTGTAAGCACTACTGCAGCTACTGTTCGTAACATAATCTTTTCATGGCCATTATTTGCAGCAAGAGCAAGATAAAGTGTGATGTCAGTATCGGTTTCTAGATGGCTGCAAGGGACAAGTGAAGACATATTCATCAATGTTTTGACAGTACCAGGTTTCAACCTTTGAACAGTGACAGCATCGCCAATAATTCTAATATTGCTGCAACATATGCTTCTATACGTGCCAACAAGTCACATTTTGTAAAAGTGCGAACGAGTCGATTTTCTGATGGGGATGGCGTCTGCTTTTCATGCTGAGCAGAATCATCTAAATTTGCCACGTGACTGACGTCTAATGTACACTATGAAAAGAGTGTCACTCTTCATTGTTTCCAGCTCTTCTTGACCCCTTGTTATTGCTTTTTTAGAAATAATTAAGTTAAAATAATACGTAAAAGACACATGCTGTTACTCGGCTTTGTTCTTTCCTTTGTGAAGGTCTCAAACAGCTCTTTTCCAGCGTCTGATACGATGGTCCCCAGCAAAGTATAAACTTCAAAATTGCAGTATGTGCCCTACAACTTCCTGAAATGATTTAAAAGACGGCAGTACTAAAAAATAACTTTTTAACGTTCAAAAACTACATGATGGCTATTACATGGCCATTAGTCCACTTAAGAGGAATGTTGTGCCCACGAGGAACCATGTTGTCACCGGGGAAGTATAGTGTCGTCCAAGTCCTAGCAGACTGAGGAACACCAATGACCATGGTGATCGGGTCTAAATTCGTCTGGCAAGACATCAGTATTATAAGCCTTGCCGAAGAACTGAAATGGGGAGTCGCAGTTTCTCAGAATCTCCATCACTACCATCAGTTGGTGGCTGCGACGTTTGAGGGTACGTCGGCCGATCATACGTCCCTTCCTCACAGATAGGAACAGGCATATCAAATCGTTCCCCTTCCAGCTTCCAGTTCAACGGAGTGAAGCAACAGGGGTTAACTCTAAATACACGTGTTGAATCACGTGTCCGCAATAATGGACAATCGTCGTCCAGATCAGCTGTAGATTATCCCTGTCCAGATTAACCATGAATGAGTTACCTCCCTTGTTTTCATTCACCCGCTACGTCAGAAGTGTTTTTTAGAATAAATGTTACGAAAATTCTAACAATAACGACGGCAGATAAGATTAATAATCTTTAACAGTTTACTGACAAAATTAAACAATATGATATTTGATTTTAAAGGCACTATATCACACCAAACATCTCTGAAAATATACAATTCATTTCTCTCAATAATACTAACTATCAGCCCTCTGGGAAGCGGACATATAGTTAACCCTCCCTAAATTATAAAGGCTGAATGAATCAATGCAACGTTGCATTAAATCAACGCCCGCGCCCTCTACTGGCCGAACATAGTATTTCAAGCGAACGCCATAGAGGTATGTCTCTTGGTGCGCTCTTTACGAATATCCTACGCACAACTTACTATAAATTCACAAGTTAAAGTAATCAAATATTGGCTAAGACTTTTAAGTATGTCCTTTTATCGTTTACCAAAGAAATGTTATGAAATGATGATTTTATATGATAGACACACAAATTGGGCAACGAATGCAAAGAATCTTTTATTTACAACAGGTTTTAGTCACATGTGGTGTGAGCAGTGTGTTGAGTCTCCCTTAATGTTTATTAGTTTATTTACGCAAAGATTGAAAGATATATACCAACAAAACTTTCCCTTTCTACGAAATGTGATTACTATTCATCTTTTAAACCATGCATTTATACTGAGCATTATATACTCATGCCAATAATGGTTGTCACCCCCTCCCCAACCCCTCACATCCCACACATCCTACCTACACCCCCTCTCCAATTAAAAAAATTGAAGGGGTGACAACCATTATTGGCATGAGTATATATCATGTGTAACGATAAAAAAGAGAGTAAGTTTAGCACGTTTTCGCTGCTCAACACATAATCTGTGGAATGAAAAAGGTAGATATATGAAGATAAAAAGAGAAGATAGATTATGTAAATCATGTGATGTTAATGTCTTAGAAAATGAATATCATTTTTTGCTCGTATGTCCATTTTATATACCTGGAAAATACCTGGAAGATTTTTCTCATGTCTATCCATCTATAGATAGATTTTATTCCTTATTAAACGGCAACAACCATGATATGATTCAGAAGGTTGCTATGTTTATATATCATGCTATGAAACTCAGAAAAGAATAATAGCCATCGAGCATGGAAACATAATATCAATATCGTATATAATACTCTTCTGTATTGTACTACTACATATATTGTGCTATAGGCCTGTGGCCTTTCAGTATTGAATACAGATTGGATTGAATTGAAACCAGTTCGGCATACACCGACAACACCGGGTGCGACAGTTTTCGATGTACGGAACAATTGTTTACATTCCATATATTGGAAACTGTTCGCCTCAAAGTTTCAATTATCGATTTCAGGCAAGTTGTAAGATATAATAATTTAGTCTTTTGTTACATCAATAGAAAACTTTTGTGAATGCATATGCACCAATATGTGTAATATAGGCCAAAATATTGTCGAAAATGTGTGACATTGTGCCTTTAATTTCTGCTCATTCTTGTTCCTGCATTCCGTTGAACTGGAAGCCGGCAGGGGTAATGGAGGCGAAGAACGATTTGATATGCCACGAGTTACGCTTAAAATGTTGAATGAAATATGTTTTACGTGAGTAATTATTAAATATGAAGTTTGTAATCTGAAAGCACAACCCTGTGAGGAAGCGGGTGTCCACCATTGATGGTAGCGAGATTTATTTTGACATTAAAACATAGTTTTCGAACCGAAGCGAGAGAAGTACGTTGCCAACCTTTGCTCGCAAATAGGAAGACTGGTCATTTTCTCCCTGTTGCGCAACCCAGTAGTCCGAGGGATGCTACACCTGATAGTATGCTGGTTCATACAATCACAACAACCATTGCTCAAAAACTATGCGACAATCAGATTTGTGATGTAGTCATGGTGATCATTCTTCCCAGCATTATCATATTGACGTTTTTGTGTGTTCTTCTCAGATTGCAGTAATGTGTTACCATGTTTCAATTTCAGATTTGTTTTTGTTGAAATCAGAGTAAAATGTGTTGCAGTTCCCATTTTAATCTGTGTAATTTTGGTTTTCAAAGCATATGCACCATTATGTGTTTTCGGACTCATCTTCAAAACGTGGGTTATTGCATGCTTAATGCTCATGGATATATTTCATTATGGCCTTGAGCATGAAGTCCAAATTCAATATCGTAACTTGTCATTTGTAGTATAACTGCCATGGGAGCTGTAAGCGAAGGAGATTATTGTGTCACCATGAGTTTTGAATTTCGAATAAACTATTTGATGAACATAAACATATTACTATCAACTTTCTGGAAACCAAAACTTCATAACGTAATTATACGGAAATGGTATATAAAAGACACGTATAGAGAACATATTTTATCTTCATTTGTAATATCGAATTAGGCTACATTGTCACTGAATTGCAATAATTTAATAAAATTAATTAAACAATAAAAGTGCGGCATACTGATGTTTACCCTTAATACTTAATTATCTGCACATTTGCCGTTGAATCTAATGACTTAAAGATTTTATTGTTAAAATATCCAAAACTTTAACTTATGAATTATTGTCCTGGTGTTCTTTTGCCAAATATTATGTGCATTTTCAGTCAGTATGGATCAGATGAAACCACAAGATACTTATCTTTTGTCATTGAGTTGCATATGTGAAAATCTCTCTGGTACCTGCCATTTTGGATGGAGGGAGCATTTATGTTCGGTGAATGTTTAATCATAATGTAAATTAACTATTTCTTCTCTTTTCCGGTACCTGTAAATCATCAATTGTGAAATTATTGGTTTCTAATGATTGGCTATGCTGATTATGTAAGAGGAAACATTGAAAATAGTACGGCATTTTTTGTATACTGCACATGCGCACACCGAACAAACAAAAACTCATGTGCCTCCATATCTGAAATTACTTCAGATATGTTCTTGAAAATGATAACCAACTTTTGTGCTTTTATCATGAAATGCACATTGTTAATGGAAACCGCTTCACTATTTGGTGTTCACATTTGACAAGTTTTAAGGTACAATCAAACATTCTCTTACAAGAGCGTCATAAAACTCTTGCTCAGAAGTTGTTCGATCAAAGTTACAAGATTCAAGATCTCATATTGTCAGGTGAAAAACTGACTAACCTCTGCATATGTTTATGCGGAAGCTACCAGTTGGGTAAGATACGCTCGCCAACACTTTGTATCATCGGTTCCCAATTGCGCAGATCGATGCTCATGCTGTTACAGACCGCCGCCATATAGCTGGAATAATGCTGAGTGCGGCGTAAAACTAAGCTTTCTCACTCACTATTTTGAGTCATAAATAATACGGTCGTCATTATACGACCGACTCTACTTTGAGCCGAGATTTCTGATCTATGTGGAAAGGGTTTCGTCGCCTATTGACATTGCAGATACTACTGCTGGTTAACTATTTCACTATGCTTGCAGACAGGATTGAAAGACAATAATAAGAGTATATTCAAATCGTTTTAATAGTCATCAAAGGTGTTGTTACCAAAAATGCGGCTAACCCATCGCTTTTCAGTTGCATGACAGACCTCCTTGCCGTGAAGCCTCGTCTGCAAAATTATAATTAGTGAAACATTGGTGAAACGGGCACAGATATAGGACTACTGAAATAAACCGATGTGAAAAGGCAGAAAGGAATGTCCAACTGACACTACAAAATTATAGGGGTGGTGGGGTAGCCTAGTGGTTAAAGCATTCGCTCGTCACGGATACAATGTGTGAAGCCCGTTTCTGGTGTCCCCAGCATGATGTTGCTGGGATATTGCAAAAGCGGCGTAAAACCATACCCACTCACAAAATTACAGTAATGGACAGATTAACAGTATTTATTAATAATTAAAACATACAATGTATGGATAATCTGAAGAGCAGAATTGATAGGGGGATAGAAGATTGTATTTATTGGAGAAAACCTAGGTATGCAAACAGTTCAAATATTTTATGTTGGAATGGTTTAAAAGAGGGAAAAGAATGTATGGATAGAAAATATATAAATGTTACAGGGAATGTGTGAAACCAGGGATTTCACGTAATCCATGAAAGAGTCAGTGAATTCGTGAAATCTCTGTGACCCCCAGGGATTTCATGTATTCCCTTAAATTTCATGAAACCCCTGGCGGTCTTTATTGAAATAGAGAACACTAAATTTATGACGCGAGTACAGAGTATATGCTGATAAAATTAATATATTTGGACAAGAAAGACTATTATGACACCGGTTATTACACTTCAGTCCCATTTTAAAACATTTACAACGTCTCGATTTACACTGGTTAGGATCACAGTTACATTGAGAGAAACCCTGTCCACCACAATTCGACTCGGATATCACAGCAGTCCGGAGAGATACTTCTTTCACCATTGTGACATCATTCGTAGAGAGTGAACAAACCTTTGTGGATACCTCCTTTTGAGGATTTCATCTTTGTTGGTCAATGTAAGAATATACATATCATTCTTATACTAACAATTGCGCTTGCGGGTTGCGCAACAGAGAATCAACCCAATCAATAATTCTGGGATATCATCTGGCTAGTTGCAGGGGAAAAACAATAACAAAATCAACAACCAGTCCCGGGGAATGGCTCTGGATCAGTGTCCATTTAAGCTACAAACATTAATTTCACACATTCACTGATATCCTAACAGGGAATTGTGTAATGGAACATGAAAATCAGTAATTTCATGAAATCCCTTGAAATTTTAGGGAATACATGAAATCCCTGGTGGAACTCTTTTAGGGATTACGTGAAATCCCTGGTTTCACACATTCCCTATAACAAATATATATACTTCTCTTTTTTCCTCCAGTAATGAAGATTTACGATAAGGAATGTATGTACAACAAACACAAACATTGGAAGGGTGTTGGACGGATAGTTGCAGTGCAGGCAAGGAAATGGATCGATATATAGAGACAGACTGAGACAGATACGGGATAAAGATACAAGTATAGGACTAGGAGAGACATACAGAGAGGGACAGTGGAGATATAGACAGATCGGAGTTGAGAGATGACAGAGGTAGATTAAGGTAGAGGCAGATGACGATGGAGTCAGAAATGAGATAAAGATACAAGGGTAGAACTGGGAGAAAGGAGTGAACGTCTAACTAACATCACAAATTTATAGTAATGGACAGATTACCAGTTAATTAAAAAACACTGTATGGATAAGCAGAAGAGCAGAATTGATAGGGGATAGAAGAATGTAAAACGCAGATATGCAAACAGTTCGAATGTACTGACAGAAGAATCTTTTTTGTTGGAATGAGGGAAAAGATTGTATGGAAATATAGACAGGAGACGGGAACGACAAGGATAGAGGAAAGAAGAAAACATGGCTATGGCAATTTATGGATGAAGGAAAGACGTGTGTATGGACATAGGGTAAAACGTACAAGAAAACAATAGTGAATGTGTAGAGGAAGTAATGAGCAGAAAGAAGAAACCAACTCAGTAAAAGTAAACGAAAAACATGGCGAACAAAAAAGGAAGCATGAAAATGTACAGGAGGTAAAGAATGCAAGTATAGTGGTATTCAAGAATATATGGTCGGATGGCAATTTATGCATTAATATAGGAAAGAAGCATGTGTGGACAGAGAAAGAAACAGGCATATGTGTAAAGGGAAATATTTATGTATCAAACTAACCTAGTCTTCTTCAAATTTATATTGACCCTTGAAACCCTGTCCAACCACACTCCCGTCTGAGATGAATTCAATGTTCAGACCGCTTTCGATGCCATACACTGAAAATTCAATAAGTATCAGACTTTAATTGTGTTTCCTAAACTTCAAGTCTGACAAGTGCATGATACCATAAATAACGTTATTATTGTCATATCCTGTCCAAATATTAGGAACATCACATTACGACGTGCATGCCATGCCATCCTTCCAGATAAACGTGTATATAGATGAGTATAATTCATATATTTTTACCTTAAAAGTCAATCAGTATCTCAATAAAGTATGTCTCCATGACTATAAAAAAACAGTCGCATATGAGAGATTACCCTTGATTTCCTTTGATGACTGTCCACAATATTCCTTATGGTCCACTTTGATATAATCATAGCAATCTGGAGGAGTTCCTTCAATGTCCATCGCCTCAATGGTCAGGGTCAGGGTATATTTTTTTTCCGTCCATGGTAGATTCAGCTGCCAGGTCTTGTGAAAATTATTCTTGTACTCATCCGGGTACCCTGGGGTGTGTAAGTCACCGTGGTTCCCTTCCAATATTTCATAATATGTTTCTGTAGACCAAAACGAATTGTTTCTAAAAGATGTCTTCAGAAAGTAAATATGCTTGACAGGCATTACAGTTTGTTATGTGAAATCTAGGCATGAAAATCGTTTTAATTTCGACTGAATCTTACTCATATTATCAGCGCTTAAGTATTGTAATATTGTTAAATAATGGGTTGCATCATAACATATTTAGTGAAATTCCTGTTTTTGTTTGAATGACAATATACGATTGTTACGTATCATTAATAAAATAAATAAAAAAATTCAATAAAAGGCAACACGGTTATATGACTCACCCACGGCAGATACTTGGACTACACCAAAGATGAGACACACGATGACTGCTTTGTGATCCATATCCCAAAGAAGATTCTCTGGATAAGAATGGCAGAAGTTATTTGTTATGACAAAACCTATGAGATAGGACTAATGTAAAATATATCAATATGATATTAAATCTGGTGAGATTAAAAGGAGGGGTTCAATGTTATTATCTTCTTCCATTCGTTATATGTATAATTCCATATAATTCCAAGAGGTAGCTCTGAAACGTAAAGGATACGCATTGTATGAAATATATATGATTGTGTATCTATATACATACTTGTATGGGACATGCTTATCGTAAGACGCGACTAACGGGATGGGGTGGTCAGGCACGCTGACTTTATTGGCACGTGTCAACGTATCCCAACTGCTTATGCTGTTGATCACTGGATTGTCTGGTCCAGCCTGGATTATTTACATATAGCTGGAATATTGCTGAGTGCTGCGTAAAACTAAATTCACATTCTCACTCACTCGCACTTGTGTGGGACGAACAGCTAACAGGATTACCTGCATTAATTAACTAAATCTTAAATAGAAATACTCACACTATCGCTCTATTCTTACTATTGATGGACTTGTCGTGCTGAGTTGTAAGATATAACCTAATTATGGGGGTTGAACGCAACAATCGCTCATTATGTCGATTATTTGCTTACAAGCTGGAACATGTCCAGAAATAGCATGTCAAAAGCGACGATACAGCCATTTGCTACATCATTCTAAAAAACAATTCCCTCCCAACAAGCTGCGAAGGGGCTGGATGTGGTATTGAACAAGTACCATGTTGGTATATTCAGATATCATCAGTGAAAAACGTAAAAAAACGGCAAATGGGTGGCGCTGGCTGTATTTGCATCATGGATGGTAAACCACATTACCACATAGTTCATGGTCATCGTACCGCTTCCACGCATCTTCGACCAGGAATGTTTAGAATTATACAGCATATTGAAGTGAGATACAAACCGACATGTTATGGGTTTTTCGCTCGAAAATGAGGACGTAACGCATGTCGAACACTTTTATGTGGGTGTCTGATTGTTTAGTCGCTTTCAGTCGTTAGTCAAATGCATCATGATAAAACATTTGTAAAGATCAGTACAATATACTACTATTATGTACTATCAGTTAAAAATAGATGTGCATATGACAATGCAACAAGGAATCTTCATGGCCGACTGAAAACATCAATAAAGTCGCCATGTCACGTTCAAACTGCTCAGGTGCACCAGTGCGTAGAAAGACTGGAGCAAGTCTAGTGCTGCACAATCGCCAAAGGGATGCATCACTGTTCGATATTTCACGACCGTGCATCCTCAATACTTTTGTATACAGTGTGTTCCTCATGAAATTCCATACATTCTTCTGATCTTGTGGGACGTATGTATAATCCAGCCAGTTAAAGAGATGGAACCGAGCCAATTTAGCACCCGTCCGTCGGGTGGCCGCAGCTAGGGCTATAGGGCAGGAGTGAGTGTGGTTGTACGCCGCGTGTAGCAATATTCTAGCAATATTACGGCGGTGGAACCCCAGAAATGGGCTTCACACATTATACCCATGTGGGGATCGAACCCGGATCTGCGGATTAGGTATCCAGGGCAATGACATGACTACCCGGAACCCTACAAAATGAAGGCATATTGTGCAATAACTAATGATAATTAACGAACAACATACTTAATAAGAAAAAAGGATTGCATTCAATCCAAATGACTCCAAATGACAGGATAGACAAAAATAAAGAACAACATATAAAACAACGAATACACAATACACAAACAAATAAATAAATAGTAGTCGTCAGTGAGTCTTGGGTCAAGCTGTGGACACGTGCAACAATGAGCTCTGAACGTCTAACTGGTCTGGCGATGCTGCATATATACAGAAGCACACCTTTCATACCTGAGTCCATGCACTATCTACTCTTGGAAGACAGACTGGAGGAAATTGTAATACAGCTAAAAGTGTATAATGGGCTCAAAATCATTTTTGAAGCTGTAAATGTCTTAATTTCATGGTTGATCATAAAAAAGCAATCTTCCTGACTGACTTACATTATAAAATTGCAATGAGTTAACTGAGTGAGTTAGTAATATTGAACAAATCTGATGATATCATGTATATGATGTAAATTTCACGTGCAATTTCTGGACCGTCAACTGAATTTAATGATACATCTGTTGTATATTAATACTTGAACTGAACAAAACAGTTGTTTTACATATATGCACATAAACATATTTATGAAGTTTAGTTCAGAACATTATGTACAGATGCTACAATTTCGAACAAAGAGACTTTTGTAAAAAAAACATGAAAAAAATTGTTTTCTACAAAATTGGAGATTATATAAGTCGAGTTATATTTATTAAGCCATACAGTTAGGGGTTGATAATCCAATCTTCAGAAAACCTTTACAAGCATGTATATGTAAAATTTTCTCTATTTGTTCATGATTAAAACAAAAAAGTATGGATTGTATTTGGGCGTCAAACAGATTAAAATGGGGGATGTAATTTACATGTAGTGATCATCACTGCTTTCGTTGATCTGGCTGGTAAATGTTGAACATTTTTTTTCTTAAATTCGGTCTTTGAAAGCAGAATGCCCCAGTATTTATATTCACCTGCCACTGTTATTGCCATGGTTTCTTAAACCCACAGGGTGGAAGCCCTGTCCACACGAAATGTGGAGTTGCCCCAAAAGCAACTCCATTTCCTCGATGGACAGTGAAAGAAGAACACGTGGCACAAGAGTAAAGGAAAGTTTTTCATCGCATTTTCATTATTTTGCAAGTATATCAGGTTTTGCCATTTGGCAGACGGGTCTAGAAATCTACAGATCTTTCTGTAATAGCTTGACACCTCTATATTTATTGCAATTGTGTGTTAAGCGAGGGCACCCTCCTAAGTGTCGAGACAAGATCGCGGAAAATGATCGTTTCAACACGAAATATGACATCCTCATCTGCAGACCCGCCATTTTTTGCTGTCAAGTTTTAGATATAGTTATTTTAGATCTTCATTCACAATGTAGGCTTTAATGCGTCTGTTTGATGAGGTCGTAATATGATTCACAATTCATCTGGCTCACTGGTTACACCTGTCATGTGTTCTTTGCGCTTATTCAGAGTATCTTTGTACCAAAGAATGTGATTGATACCATATCAAGGTCGTACAAAACCGCCGAATCTTTTCGTTTTGAGATTTCCAGATTTCCGTTTGTCAGAGCACGCTGTACGACAGAGCTCTTCTGCACGGCGGAATATAAGGCGCTTAGTGTTGCAATATACAAGTGATTAGATGTATCAGATAATACTGATTAATACTTATATATCCAGTTGAATGAGTTGGTCTCAAAATTGTGGACTGGTAAGTGTACTAAGTTGCTCAATAGGACGGAACCCAGTCTGTTTCTGTTTCTTCTTGGTTTTCGGTGTGCTTGACAACAAACGGCTGGTATTGAAGTATATGCGACTCGTCCACTGGTTCAACTTCAAAATTCATTTCCTGAAAACATAACCATATCAAACTAATGCATATATACTGATGGTAAAAAGTTAGGCAGCCAAGTATGTACATGGCACGGATGCTTCACGATGGCAGAGGGCACCCTTGAAGAGCTACCTCCTCGTGGTGGGTGCCGGGTAACACTAAGAGCTCTTCAACCCCCCGTTGTGGACCCGGGGCTATATTTGGTCCACCAACCCGTTTGCCGTGGGTTTCGCCCCTGTGTCGGTGGAGGAAGGGATTCTGGTGGTTGATGGCACTGGTTCCAGGAACAGTGTTCCTTTGCCAAACACACCACTTCGGCCCTAACTTCACCTGGACGGGTGGTAGAACTGGTCCGGTTCTATCAATCGGCTGGTCACGCCAAGCCCTGTGCATAGTTAGTATTTTTGCACATTTAACTTATTACTGAGTATTGGTCATATTGATATTCCTGTTCAGATTATTATCATATTAAATCCTATGCCAGAAGGCGGTGGCTCATGGGCCAATCTGGTAACACTGACCTCCAAATTTGATACGTACCTAATTTCTTGTCATGGGGCAAAACCAGCCTGACATTGGAATTGGTGTAATATTACTATTTGGGTCAGGGTTGCTGGAGTATAACAATCCTGTATCCCTAGTGTTTGCATCTTGGAGATCCGGTGCATTGCAACACTGTCTCTATTGACACTCCATAGTGGGTAGGGAGCAGGATTGCTGAATGACAATGATATTACCATGTCTCATATCCATTCTGGTTTAAACCGTAATGAAAACAAAAGACGGCTGGAAGCTGAGGGTTTATCATCCGCTGCTGATGTTTCTGCTCCGCAAAATTCAAATTATTGGGCACTGTTTTTAGTTGTTGAATAAAAAAATAGCCTTCCTTTGATACTAAATCCATTTGCTATCTGTAAAGCTATTGAAGGTATCTGTGGTGAGGTCAAGAATGTTTCAAGACTCCGGGGCGGCTCCCTTTTGGTTGAATGTTCACGGAAACAAGCTATGAATCTTTTAAAGTGTACTACTTTTGCAAACATTGAAGTTGTTATATCAGAGCACCGAACTCTAAATTCAAGTCGTGGGATCATCTGTGACAGAACACGATGTCTGGCAGAAATGACAGAAGCTGAAATCTTGAAAGAACTTTCAACACAACATGTCACTTCCGTGAAACGTTTCACCAGGAAAGATGGAGAGCACATTATCCCAACAAACACTTATTTGTTCACTCTTTCTCTTCCTACTATACCTAGATCTATAAAAGCAGGATATTTCAACATCGGAGTGGAGGTATATGTTCCTAATCCACTCCGGTGTTATAAGGGTCAGAAATTTGGACATGGTTCAAAATCATGCATTCGCCCGATTGTTTTGCCATCCGTCCACCCACATAACACGTCTTCACGTTCACGTGAAAGGTCTCCCATCGAACCATCATGAACTATTCCAATCTACTTCAGTGGAACTGCAGAGGACTTAGGCATAATTTTAATGAATTGCAGTTATTAACTCAAGATATCAATCCATCAGCTATATGCCTACAAGAAACATATCTCAAAAACACAGATAAATTTGTTTTGAGACAATACAGTTCATTTCATTTA